TCTCTCTCTCTCTCTCGGGTTGGTTGTGAGGGCTCGTCTTTCACAAGAGGCGTTGCTCTTCAGCCGTGGCTCTTCTCTGCGAGCAAAAAATAAATTTCCGCTTCCTGCAGCGGTAAACAGCTAGCGCAACTTGAGAAACATTTCGCAGCGAGTTTGACGGTGAACGGCGGGTCCGACTGTCGCGATCAGCAGAACCGAGCCTCGGTCCTCGTGGACGGATGATTGTGCTGCAGTAGAGGATCGGCGCTCCGACAAAAGCCGTTTTATTCGGGTTTTCCTTCATTGTTTTCAAACATAAGGTTCCTCCAGCATGTCGGAGCGGGGAGGGCTCCCGAGGACTGGAGGCGTACCGTCTCCGCAGCCCTCCAAACCGGTGGCGATCACCTCCAATCGGCCGGTGCACATGAACCTGTACGCCACCTGGGAAGTGGACCGATCGTCGCCGAGCTGCGTGCCGAGGTAAGGCGCCTGAACGCCGGGTAGGGAAGCAGCGGTGCACCGCCGAATAATCCTCGAGGTTTCCTTGACATTTATCCACATAAAGGACAACACAATGAGTTAAAGCTGGAGGGAACACGATAGTGGAGACAGCTAGATGTAATTAAATAAATAAAATTAGCCTTGACAGATTTCAGCACGATATGTGTCGCGGTTTGCAGCGAAAGCGACATGAAGAATGATCGGTGGTTGAATCTGAACGCGGCAGTGCGGTAAAGACAACCAGAACAACTTCTGCTTAACAAAGAGAGCTGGGGTGAACTGTTCAGACATGCAGGACTTTATGTATTGTATTCCAGCCTGTCAGTGGTCTGGGATATGTGTCTGGAATGCTGGCACGGGAACTGCATACTTTGTGTAGCAACCTGCTGTAATGGATTAATGGATAGCGATTTAACGTTACCGATATTGCTTTTTTAATGACCTGAGTTGATACAGATATTATTATTATTATTAGTAGTAGTAGTAGTAACAATAATTACTAGAAAAAAATATTGTTGTTGTTATTATTAGCAGTAGTGTTATTTCCTCCAAATTATGCAATTATCGGTACACCCAATATTGACGAACTAAGAACCGATTTTTACCCGTAATTGGTAGTAATCCTAGTTAATCTTATTCATGCATTTTATTTCATCTTGGGAATGGTCTAAAATAAATCTTTTGAACGCTGAATTGTTGTGAATAAATTTGTGTAATACTAGTTTAGTATGTGAGGGTTTCATGCATATTCTAAATTTGGAATGGTATGGAATTGGTTTGGGATGCTGGCCGATGTAATTTTACAGTAGAGCTTCATGCTTTTTATTCCAATCTGCTGTTCTGAAAAACATTGAAGTATATTATAAATTGTAGTATCCCAATTATGTATTGGAGTATACCGATATTGTAATATATGACCTGTATTTGTGCAGAAATTATTATTACTACTACCAGTAGTTATAGTAACTACCAGTAGTTGCATTCCATGCTGGGAATAGTCAGAAATATATATTTGAAATGCTGAATTGTTGGGAATATATTGGTGTAATATATCCTAGAAATGCTGGTTTAGCACGTGTAAAAATCAAGGCATTGTATTCTAGATAGGGATTGGTATGGAATTGGTGATTGTAGAGTTTGATGTGTTGTATTCCAACCTGACGTTCTGGAAAATATTGGAGTAAAGGATAGCGATTGATTGATATTATATTTCATGACCCATATTGATACATATATTTATTTATTTATAATTTTTTTATTGTATTATTATTATTACTACTTCCCAAATTATGCCATTTATTGGTTGACCCAATGTTAGACAACTGAGAACCAGCATTGTTGGGATTGTTGAGAGTATATTGTTAGATTGCTGAATTGTTTGGAATATATTGGCATAATAGATCCTAATATGTACAGGGATTCATATGTTGTATTACTGGGAACAGTCTTGTATATATTGGCTTGGGATGCTGAAGAGCTTCATGCTTTGCATTCCAACCTGGTGGTCTGGAATATGTTGCAGTCGTGTGGTAGTAGATAGCTATGTCGGTTTAGAATGTGTGGAGATTCATGCATTCTGTTCTAAATTGGGAACGGTATGGAATTGGTTTGGGATGCTGCCATGGTAACTAGCGTTTCAGGCTTTGTATTCCAGCCTGACACCAGCGTTGCATTACCCTACATTTGTGATCAGGTGAACATGCATGTGTCAATGTTCAAAACAATCGTTCCTCTTGAAATCCAATACTCCCTGCTGCCTATTGTTTTCTCCTGGAGTTAATATCGGCTACGGATACAGACAACACAGACATGTGAAATGGCTGCCCATCGAAGCTAATTGGTTTGTTTGTATTAAATGTGTATTGATGGAGCAATTGGTATAGATCTGGGTTACACAGCATGTGCTTGTGTTTTGCATGGCATCACGCTGCTGGTATCGACAGGAAACTCTAAAAATAAAACAAAATATTGATTGACTTGTTGATGTTTCGTGTTTGGCCGGAGCTGATGGCTGTATTCAAAATGTAATACATTAGGGAAAGAGCAAAGCGCTCTCCTTACCTCTACTATCATCTTGCTCGGGACTGCTATTAAATATTAATGTGATCTTGTTTTATGTCTAAATCAGGTGGACAATAGCCCTGTAACTCACCCGGCTACTTAATTAGAGCTAAAGATGGCACAGTGGGCGGCACAGGGCACCCGTGCGGCGCGTGTCTGATTTCTGACCGTGTTGTGGGTTTGTGAGTGTAAATGTGTGCATCTCAGTGAAAAGATGGAATAACAGGCCGTAGGAATGGGAATTGACGAGCATTAACAGCACACACACCCATTCAAATTGGACATAATGAAACTAATGACTAAGATTTCAATGAATAAGTCAACAATCGCTCTGGGCTGCGTTTCCCAAAAGCGTCATAAACCTAAGTAGATCATGACAAACATTGGCACCAGTGGCCTCTATGATCTGTTCACTTTTGGCAAATGCAGTTCTGACTGATTTAGTCGTTAGACAGATTCAGTTCAATAATATGATTACACCAAAAACGATAACTACAACTATAAACTATGAGAATAGGAATGTCCACACCACAACTATAATAATAACAACACAGAAGAACAAGATCTTTGGAATCACTCTAAAAACTTTCAAAACATTGACAGCCAATAAGAATTCAGACGAGTTTAAAGAGCATGTACATTTAAAGAGGCAGACGACAAAACTGCATCGCTTATTTATTAGGATAAACAGAATGTCGTTGTCCGTTGGTGCAAACAGTATAGTTATCTTTATACTTATCGTTCTTGGTGTGAACGGGCCTTAAATTGTTTTCACAGATTAATCTAAAATAAAATAACATACTCACAAGCAGGGCTGCACGATTATGACAAAAATCATAATGGTCGATTATTCCCTTGAAATTGTAATTGCGATTATTAATTACGATTACCACAATTTACATTGAATGATGTTTATACCATTGTTTGATGCAACTGCATGCTGTATTTTTATATGAAAATAAACAAGCTGAAAACACTCTAACTGAAAAACTTTTAGTGCTTTTCTATGGTATTAAGCCGCAAATGTCAACTATACATCGGATTGGTTTCTTCTTTAAATTATAAAAAAGTAAAAATATGAATGGTATTATAATGTTATATTAAAACTAAAATTAAAATAATGGGAAAAACCCTTAAGATAACATGTAGAAAGAAAAAAAACACATCTTAAGCGTGCAGAATAACATAAGTGGACTTTGAACTATTAATTGCCGCTTTGAACGATTACGTAATTGTGGCATCCATAATTGTAATCACAATTAAATATTTGATTAATTGTGCAGCCCTACTCACAAGAGTAGGTCTTTTGCTCATTCTGACTGCACTGGTTGTGTTGTGTGTTTGTTAACGTAACGTTGGCGTAAGAATGCAGCTGTTCAAAAATAGTTCAAGTAACCAAACGTCACACAGATTTTCTACTCCGGTTTCTTTTGCAAATTAAACTTGATATGAATAAAAGCCCGTTCAAACGAAAGATGATAACTATATTAGCGTCCACACCAATGCACAATAACATTTTGTTTATTATAAGCACTCTACAGTTACGTCGTCTGCTGCTTTAAATGTTCGAACTCAGATGTCGGATGGATTCTGATTGGCTGTCATGGAGAGTCAGAAATCTCAGGTTTCATTAAAAATGTCTTCGAAGATTAACCAAAGCGTTGTTGGTTTGGAACCACATGATGGTGAGTAAATGATGACAGAATTGTCTTTTTTGGGTGCACTATCCCTTTAAGAACACTTCTCCATTCGCAGCCCTATGAGTGATTGTAGCATGTGTGCCGTCATTAGTATCTGCATGTCGACGCTTTTGTTGTCGCAGGTCTGTCATCTGTCTGATATTTGTTAAGATAAAATCCCTCCTTGCAAAAACCCCTCAGCGTCTTTTGGTAGCTGAATCACTGATCGGTGCCAAAGGCCAGCAGGAAAACAGACTGACACCTCATTCAACACAAACAACAACACGTTACAGTCCACCTCAGTATGCCATTATATTCACACTTCTGCCGCACACTTCCCCATAAAACCTTCAATAATGGGATGTAAGCAAGCATTCAGTAGCTTAGTCTTTGAAAATCACGTCGATTAACCACAAACATTGACGTCTTTGACACCAAAAATTCGCACATGTTTAGTAGCTGAATGTTGACTTGACACATCATTTCCGAATTCTGGACAGGAACGTGCAGGCATTTTTATTTCAGTCTGTTCCTCACACAAAGCTATCATATGGCTTTATTTGACCTTTAATATAGAGCACAAGCCGTATGCACCACTTTTTGGTTGTATCCTTATCTTTAGATAATAATCTTCTTTTTTGGAGTGAACTATTCTTTTAATTATGAATTATTTGCATTTGTTTGAGGCTGTGGCATATTTTCAGTATTACAGACGCCGTTTGTTTCCTGTTCATCTGTTTTCCTCTGCAGTCTGAGGGCTGACGATGTCACATCCTTTTGTTTGCGCTGCCGCTGATTTCTGGAGTCACGCTTTGTTCACCGGATTTGATTGCTGAGGACAGAAAGACAGCGAACGAAGCCGCCAGTCTGAGAGACGAGGACGGAGTGGAGATGCAGAGAGGTTTCACGCTGAAGATGTGAATTAGGGAGCGAGGGAGTGCGGGGAGGGATGATAGGTTGAGGGTGGAAAGGTAATCGCTGCTGCCGCAAGATTCTGAGACAGAGAAACAAAACTGTGTGGCACCCAATCAATACCGGCCGGCCGCCACTCGAAAAACTATCTAGTGTGAGATCCGTCTGAAATTGAATTCACCTTGATATCTTCAAGGGCGCACAATAAAATGGATGCTATGGCTGAATTCGGCACCGACTGCCACAGAAGATTGCCGTTTCTAGTCTAAATGAAATAACTTTTTTTCGTTTTCCCTGGTGTTATTGGGAACAATTCATCTGTGCAAA